ATGAATAATATTTGAATCTTCTCTCAATTCTTTTATGTATGATTGAGTTATCTTTGCAAGTCTCTTCGAATTATCAGTTTGGTTTGGCCTACTAGATTGATCTTTCTTTCCATGGGAGAAGTGCTTAGCTTTGGGTTCAATCTTGCGGTGTTCTTACCCAGTGACAGAAAGGGTTGCAAGGCACGTGTTGTATTGTTGCCATCGAGGATAACAAGATGGGGTTTATATCATATTGCATGAGTTTATCCCTCTACATCATGTCATCTTGCTTAATGCGTTTACTCTGTTCTTATGAACTTAATACTCTAGATGCAGGCAGGAGTCGGTCGATGTGTGGAGTAATAGTAGTAGATGCAGGCAGGAGTCGGTCTACTTGTTATGGACGTGATGCCTATATACATGATCATGCCTAGATAATCTCATAACTATGCGCTTTTCTATCAATTGCTCGACGGTAATTTGTTCACCCACCGTAATACTTATGCTATCTTGAGAGAAGCCTCTAGTGAAACCTATGCCCCCCGGGTCTATCTCTTATCATATTTGCTTCCAATCTACTTTTATTTGCATCTTTACTTTTTGCATCTATATTATAAAATACCAAAAATATATTTATCTTATCATACTATCTTTATTAGATCTCACTTTCGCAAGTGGCCATGAAGGGATTGACAACCCCTTTATTGCGTTGGTTGCGAGTTCTCTGTTTGTTTGTGTAGGTGCGTGGGACTTTTGAGGAGCCTCCTACTGGATTGATACCTTGGCTCTCAAAACTGAGGGAAATACTTACGCTACACTTGCTGCATCACCCTCTCCTCTTCGAGGAAAACCAACGCAAGATCAAGACGTAGCAAGGTTCCGGCAAAAACTAAAAATAATCTCGCCGGTTCAATAATTTCGTAGCTTGGTTGGAGCAAAAATGATTGTTGGTTCCAGCAAAAAGACCAATACAGCAAAGACCCATGGTAGCCGGTGTCCGTCACCGTCCCAACATCATCATAGCCTATGCAGGAAATTCGAATGCTAGTTCCAGCAAAAACCAAAAGAGGTTCTAGCAAAAATCTGATGCATCAAAAAATCATGGCAGTGACGGCGCCACCATCTTGTCAATTACAGCAAAATCAAAAGAATGTTCCAGCAAAGAAAAGAAGTGGTTTCAGCAAAAAACAAAAATGTTCATAAAAAATCGAACAGGGATGGTAGCAAAAAAGCCCAGAGATTGTAGCAATAAAAATGGGTGGATCCAGCAAAAAAAAAACCTGGTTCCAGCAAAAAAAAACCTGACGTCAATGGTTCCAGCACCGTCAAGCGCTGGTCACAACACCACCACCCCGCGGAGCGCCGAATCCACCCCTGGGCAGGAGATCTTGGAGCTCCCCGCAGCTCGTGATTTCCGGCGACATGCGGCGGCGCCGTCTCCATCGCACGCAGCACCACAGATCCACTCTCTCCGCACGGCACCTGGCCGGCATCGGCGACCACCAGCAACGAGACAAGCAGCAGTGCGGCAGTGCCACTGTCACCACCGGATCAAAGTAGCAGGACAACGACATGGCTAGGCTGGGTAGGGAGGAGGAGCTCCGGTGAAAGCAACGAAGCAAGGAGAGAGAGAAATGGGCGGTGAGAACAGACGTGAGGGGATAAGCGGTGGGGAACAGACGTGAAAGGATAAGGTGCTGAGATATTTTTTAAGAAGAGCCGTGTAGGCTGCGTCGTACGATCACACTTCATCGCACGTTTCTCGTGTGACCGGCGCAAAAGCTTGGCCGGTCTGCCGGCGTAAAACGTTTCCCTAACTTTTTCGATAATAATTTGAAATATGGAGTATATGATATTAGGTCCTCTTGACCTACTACGCTGCCCTCATCTTGTTCAAGCTGGTAAGCACGTGTCTTCCTAATCTCCGAGTTGCGGTTAGCTTAACCACTAAGAGCATCTCTAGCCGCGCCACCAAGGCCCCCAGGCGACTTTTCGGCCGCATGCGCCAAAAAATCGGCCCAGTCGCGCCCCCAAGGGTTCATTTTTCGCCGGCTCGGGCCGAAATTGGCGCCGGCGGACCCAATCCGAACACGACGCGCTGGGGGCGCTCGAGGGCGCCGGGCGAATCATTTTTGGCGCGAAAAAGCCGCAGGCCCTCCTTGCCAGCGACTCGTCTCTCTTCTCGCCGCTTCATCGTCCTCACCGCATTGTTTCCCGCGGCGAATCAATGCCAAAGCTGCCGCGCGCTGCCGCGCCGGTCAGCCTCCATTGATGCCTCACGGGCGGCGCAGTGAAGACCGGACGACGCGCGTCCCCTCGCCCGCCACGCGTACACGCGGCGGCCACGCGTACGCACGGTGCCTCGGCCTATATAAGTCGACCCCCGGCGCGCCGGTGACATGCACAGAGTCTCCACCACCGACGCGCCATTTCTCCCCCTTCTTCCCTCTCCTCTCGCCGTCTCCAGTTAGCATGGCCGAGCGCTTCCCAGGCGATGGCGCGGCGGCGAACGGCTTCGGCCGTCGCCATCTTCACGAGGACGAAGCTCGGCTCCTCTTCGAGGTCGAGTACCCGGTCCTGCCGGACATGCGGGTGCCCGGGGCGTGGAGAATCAGCGCCGGCGGGGTCCCGGTGCCACCACCGCCCACCGGGGCGGCGCGGCGTGCGGAGATCGCGCGTATCCGCGCCTCCCTGCCGCGGGCGCCGAGGGAAGGACCACGGTACGTCCCCGACAGCCCGCTCTGGGAGCCATACTTCCGCCGCCGCCACGCCGAACAGCTCGAGGCCACCAACGGCGTCGTGCCCTCCGGAAGGCTCAACTCCGAGGGGCGGCGCCGATGGTGGGGCGTGCCCGGTCGCACGCTGGAGGTCGTCCTCGAGTACATCGAGGGCGGCAACACGCCGAGGCTCGAGTACCCCGCTCCCCCGTCCTTCTCTCGCCGACGTGGGAGCTCGTGGACGCCGAGGCGCATGGAGCCTGGGGCGTCCTCCTCCTCGTCCGGCCGCTCGTCCGGCTCTCCCTGCCTCCGCCCCGTCAAGCCGGAGCCCCAGGACACGCCTGTCAGCCGGCGCACTCGCAGCTCCGGCGTCCACATCGGCGACTCCACCCCCCTATGGCCGCCTCGTCCTCGTCGCGCCCAAGCCGGAGCCCAGCCTCCCTGTGGAGTACGAGAAGATAGCCCGGCGCGGCTTCTCCGAACGGGAGGCCCTACAGTGGGCGCGAGACGACTACCTTTGCGACGAGATGGTCCGGCAGCGCCGGGCCCTGGAGGAGATTGCCGCCCGCAAACATGGGCGCGAGGACGGGCACGACGTCGTGATCCTCGACAGCGACGACGACGAGGACGCCCCCAGACCGTCCAACCCGCCGCGCCAACCGGGGGAGGGTTGCAGCATGGACGGCGGCCGCGGCGGAGGCGACGACGACGACGACGGCAGTGACTACACGCGGTTCTACAGCCTCCTCGGCATGTAGAACTGCAAGGGCGGCGGGCGGCGAGGAGCGGCAAGGGAGACGGCAAGGAACAGCCTAGTAGCTTTTTTTTTTTTATAAAATATTTTTAAATACGAACGAGCTCGCCGAAGTTTAGTTGAATTTGCGCTATGTTTGTGCCGTAATTTAAATTTTTAAAAAAACATGAGCGTGCAACTGGGGGCATCACGCCCACAGCGCGCGGTCTAGCGCTGGTGCGTCCGCAGGGGGTGATTTAGGGGCCAACTGATGCTCTAAGCTACGAAGCGACCCGATGAAAGGTGTCGCCGGTCTCGAAGAGGACAGGAAAACAAAAGACGCGCATTCAAACCACACGGTTCACTCGTTCCTCTTCTCTTCTCCCTTCGGACGCGAAGAAAAGAAACCCTCGGTCCTTCACAAAGAGAGAAGGGGAGAGAAAAAAAATAAATTCAAAACCTCCCCCCCAAACCCCTCGTCCACCGCCGCCATGGACAGGGCCCCGCCGCGCGGCGCTCCTCGCGACGCCGTCGGCCAGCGGTGGCTCACCGTCTTCGCCTTCCAGGCCGCGCTCTCGGTCGCCGCCTCCGTAATCCACCTCGCGGTCTCCCCGAGCCGCCGCCACCCTAACCTCGGGGTACCCCCGGCCTTCCTCCTCGGGCTGCACCTGCCCCTCTCCTGCGCCGCCACGGGGCTCCTCGCGCTCGCCTTCCTCATCTCCGCCTCGCCCCACCCCGGCCAATCGCCCGTACCGAAGGTCGCCCTCGCGGCCTCCCTCTTCGCTTCGGCCGGCGCGCTATGCGTGGCCGCCGCGGCGTCTCTGGTCCCCAAGGACGCCGGATGGGCTGCCGTCGCTGGGCTGGGATTCCGCGGCGCTGTGTTGGGCGTGGTGTTCGCCGCTCACTACTTTGGGCGTGGGAGGTGGTTGCTCCAATTCCCCGTCGTGCAGGTGAGTGGAGTGGGGGAAAGTTAGGGTTTCTGCATATGCTGCTTGATTCATCCGAAATTGCAGATTAGGTTTGAATTCGTACGCTTTAAATTCTTATTACCACGACTAACATTAACTTCTCAGCAGTGATTTGCTGTGCAAATGACTATTGTTCTTAAAACATAGGAGTGATGTGATCTTAACTGTGGCTTGAACTATTGGTATTTTACCCTAGGGTGTTTGATCAGAGGAGAGGGTTGCTACTATCCATGCTGCACTATTTGGATCGGTATTTATTGGACACGCATCTATTATTCAAGTTAGACTTTTGAATTAGATATAGATGGTTCTATTATGAGCACTGTGCAATTTCCCCAGAATATCATGTTTTATGGTCAATTTCCAGTCAGAAGCTTTGTTTTTCTTCACTGTTTATTCGTAGTCATAGTTTGCCTATACTGTTCTTTTTTTTTTAGGTGTGAACATGATGGGAATGAATCAAAACTTATGGCAATCAGTTGTAATTTCAAAGCTAAGTTTGGTTAATTTTGATCCCTTAGTAGTCTTAGATTTGCTTGCTTGGTTGCATTTTCATTTGCTATCTTACAGTTCTTCCCAGCAGTCACTTGAGTATGTGGCCGCATGGTTTTAACTTTGTTAACTTGTTTTATTCTCCAGAGACCTATGTTCTATGGATTAAAGATGGGGCTTCTACCTTCTATTAAAAGGGCTCTAAAGATGTCGCTTCAGGTCTTCTTGCTTTCACTTGTCCTGATTCTTATTCTTCCTCGGCAATTCAGAATGGGAGGATCCATTGGAAGTCAAATTATCACCCAAATCGCTATTTTTATAGTGACTACAGGTGTTTCCTTCTGTTGGGAAATAAGCCATCATTTTGTCCAGGTTTGTTCTCTCCTCTGCAATCCAAATCAAACAACATGCTTTTAGATGCTTGTTTCTGCCGTATGTACTCTGCAGCTTGACTTTTGTGGAACTTTAATACACAACTGTTTTCAACGAATTTCAGGTTGTGCATACAAGACGATGCAGTTTTACTCCACCTCAGAGCTCTGCTGCTGCAGAGACTAATCCTACCGATTATATCCTCGAGACATTGGAACTAAGTAATCCACGTTCGCTGATGCAATATCTTGCATTCCAAGATTTGTGTGCAGTATCTGAATGCAACATTGAACCTTGGCGTCGAGGTGCCTTCTTTGAGGAGTCTGGTGAAACTTACAAAAGAATTGTGACAGCCTGTTTGAAGCCACTTGAGGACTTCACTTCAAAAATTGCTGAAGCACTTGAAGGGTTTACTAGTGAAAGGCCAGAACTATTATTACAACAGTCTAAGCTCTATGGTGCATTTAGTGATTCACAGGTAATTTTATAACCATTTCATTTACTTCTATTGTAGGTTCTTCAGTATATTTCCAGTTGTTAATCTTGTCTGTCTCTTCTTGTGTACTAATGAAATCTGCTCCCCGTCAAGAACCATCATCCAGGAAATAGTTTGAACCTACTGTTAAGTTGGTGCCTGCATTTTTTGTTTGACATCCGTGATAAAATTGTTTTAGAGTTGAATAAGGAGAGACCATGCTTTAAAGATGCTGAGTGGCTATAATTGAAGCATACATGCATAATGATTGGTTAGTCACAGTTAGACATACTCCAAAAGATTTGCATACAGCATCACACGATCCGGAAGATTTTGCACGATAACTGCTGATCATATATGTTAGATATGTTATGGAATATGAGTATGCGAGTATCCACATGTAATCTACCTCGGGAACGTTTAGTACTCCCTCTGTTCCATTAATTGTCGCTGATTTAGTGCAACTTTGTAGAAAATCAGCGACAATTAATATGGATCGGAGGGAGTAGCTTAATTTGAAATGCTCAGACCTTTTATTTGGAAGTTGGTAACGTCAAGTTTTCAGGCCTTTTGGAGCTGAAGGTTATTATGACAGCTTCCATATGAGTACCAAATGTATTTCTTCTAGTATAAAGTAATTGGATACTTAGGAGCATCAACTATCATTGTGTTTGATTGCAAATGACATAATAGGTATGCCATATGCACATGGACTGCGTGCAACAGTTTTGAATATTAGCTATGGGGCATTCTTTTCTGTAATATGGGAAGTTGGTTTGTTTATGGAATATGGCACATGTGGTGGAGATGTCAAAATTGTTTTTTTTACACGTACATGGTTGACCTGTGGTCTGGTTGATGCAAGTGTTATACTCCCTCCGTCCCAAAATAAGTGTCTCAACTTTGTACTAACTCTAGTGCAAAGTTGTACTAAGGTTGGGACACTTATTTTGGGACGGAGGGAGTAGTAAATAGTAGCTCACCATTAACTTCTGCAACATGCTTTTCCTCGGAACCAATGGATAGATTGTAGCAGAAGAAGCTCTGTTCCGCTTGGAGCAATTGTGTATTACCAAGAGTGTGTTTGTTTTGAGCCCAAATTTGCCCCACCATTTTTCTTCTCGAACAATGCAGGAGATCTGCATGCCATTTCATTGATAAGAAAGAGGATTAAAAGTACAATGCCACACACACGACACACCCCAAACCCATACACTCTGGACCAACTGATACATAGGAGCCATGCTTGAACAAAGGATACGACCAAAGCGCCAGAGCACTGACCCTAGAACAGGGTCTGAAGGCTGTGGGCCCTGGCTGTATGCCATAGGGCAGCCTCCTCTACCACCCGAACTACGAAAAACGCCCTAGGGCTAGCATTGGTGAAAACACAGTCGTTTCGGCATTTCCAAATCTGCCAAGCTACTATATGATCAAGGTATTGAGGCCTTTTCGGTGCTCCTTGTCCAATCTCTTGATTGCCCTGTTCCACCAGCCAGAGAAGGCCCCACCAACCCCACCAAATATTTGGCTAGCCAAAATTTTGGTCAAGGTTTTATGTGCCCATGAGTTGGCCAACTTTGACTAAAAAGATGAAGTAGAGTTGGGTAAGCAGCCATTGGCATGCCAATAAGTTTGTAACCATCCAAACAAAAACCAAAGTTTTGGTAAGGTCTCCTTGGGTAAGGTACAATTTTGCCAGAAACCAAACATACCCCAACTACCAAGGCTAGAAGTGAAAAATGGAGACTGCTTAGCTGATAGCTGGTGTGATGAGTTCTGACAGTATGGAAGCCCAAATTTGTGAAACATGATCATTTTAATAGCAGCTTGAATTTTTTTTATATTCAAGGACAACTACATGGTTAACATTTTGAAGATTTAGCTTATTTCTAGTGTGCATCTGGGGTGAATGTAGCTTAACATGATTCTTGTGGTTTGATAGCATTCAGAAACATTATTAAAGTCCGTAGGTGTCCTTCAGGGTAAGGTCAATTGTCTACATGCCTAAGCTTTAATAGCCTTGTCTTAAGATTGTTTAAGGCCTGCAATGTTTTATGTGCCAGATGTTGTATCATTGCCAAATCATTATAGTCCAAGTGTTAGTTCGTGCACTAATGCCTAATGATAGATTGTTCTGTATGACCTCTGAATGTAGATATGCTCATGGTGTGCTCGGACATTGGCGACATTAACTGCGCGCTCACGACAAGAGGATCGCTATGGAGTTGCTCAACTCACTGGCTGCAATGCTGCTGTGATGTCTACTTTGCTGTCTGCTCTAGTTGCGGTTGAAGCATGTTTAGGGAAGAAAACTAACCCACAACCTGCGCACTCACTGGGTCCAGCAAGCATTAAGTGGGGTAATAACTTCTCCACTGCAAGAAAAGGCAATGTAACTGCCATCGCAAGCACACAAAGAGGTGGTCTGCACACTAAAGCTCATTCAATGGCTGATGTTTTCCGGACTTCAATTTATCAGATAGTCTCAGCCTTCTTGGATGACATGCGGGCAAATGCAAAAGCTTCGAGTTTGGAGAAGAATTGGATCAGTGAAGGAAGAAAACCTATACATGGTTCACGTGCTGTGTTGGTTCAGAAGTTGAGCTTGTTTATTGAATACCGAGCTGTCTGAACTCTGTGTGATGTCTCTCAAATCGACAGTCTGTTGGGATGAAGGAATTTTGTTATTGGCCAAAATGCTTGTTTCAGTGAAGTTTGGAGCTGCTGACACTACTATCATCTCATTGAGGTCAAGGAATATTTGTTTCGGCACTATGATCCACTGGCGAAAAATCATTTTCCATTCCCCATCTTTTGGAGAACAAGAAGGGCCATGACCTGTTATTATTGTGATTTCTTGCAAAACCAATCTCACTATTTTTCAATTGTTTGAAGCATTACGCTAGCGAATGGAAAATTAAGCTCTCAATTTTGCATGGTACTCGAGAGGTGTTAGTATGTTGCTGTAGTATGGGGGAATGCCGAAATGTTTTGGGCTATCAGTCCACTTGATTGGCTTGTCAGAATGGTCATACTTGCACTGTAACTTATTACGCAGTAGTGCTAGTCAAGATCGAATGATTTTCTTTATTTGCTGATCAAGGTTTTGTTGTTCATGTGCACCAGCCCAGCCTTGACAGTGGCAAGTGGCTGGAGCCGTTGGCGCCGTTTCAATTTTTCTTTTTAAAGACAGCACGGTTTCATTTCCAACCTGTCTTTTGGTTTTGAGTTAGCAGATCATCCCTGTTTCTTAAGAATGGATCCATGGTGTTGAAAATCCCAAAATATTGTACTAGCTCATCTGCTGGTAACAGCAACCACGGGCCAGCTCTTCTCAGATTCAAGCCAGAATGTGCTGAAGTTGCATGGTATTTCCATTGAAGTAACCATTCTAATTCAGCCGTGGGTTTCTAATACAATCTCCCTCTATAAAGAACACCAACAGTGGAACAGAACAAGGCGTAGTACAGCCAGAAACTCCTAGCTAAAGATGAGGGCGTTGGCGGCCAGCCTCGCCGTCCTCGGCGAGGTGCCAAGCACTGAGAGGGCGGCCCTCGCGGACGCCTTCCTTGCGGCGGCGGCCTTGGGGCAATGCCGGCGCAGCGAGAGGAACCTGCCACGGTGCGCGTCAAGGCCGCCCTCACAGCTCCGCGACGGCTTGAGGCGCTTCTTGGCCGGCTTGGCCAGGTCCTCCAGGGAGGCCACGGCCGCCAGCGACGCGAACGACTGCGACTTGCCGTCGAAGAACAAGGACAATCCCCTCCTGCACAGCATAGAAAAGGCAGGTCAGCATCTCTCTCTGCTTAGAAATAGATCAGGAACGTAAACCGTCAACACTCGCATTCGCGCGCACGTACTTGATGGGGAGCTGCGTCATGAGGGCGGACATCTCGAAGTGGTCACCGGAGCTCGAGGAGGACGAGGAGCTGGCGTCGTCGGCGAGGTCGGAGGAAGAGGACGTCGAGCTCCGCGACGTGCACTCGGAGTCGGACGCGGAGCCGATGTCCTCGTCCTGCTCGTCGTAGGCGGCCCTGGGCGGCGCCACCATCATCATCTCCGCGGCGCGGCGGAACATCACGTACGCGTCCATCTGGGTCGCCATGCCGATCAGAGCAGACCAAACGGAGCAAGGAGAGATGCAGGTGATCTGAGATCAGCGATCGGTTGTGCTGGTGCGTTGGCGATGGAGGATCAAACGCCGCGCAGCGGCTATAAAGGGGGAGAGGAGGAGCGGAGGGTGAGTCACTGGGAGGATAAGGAGGGAGGAGGAGCGCGGCTACAAATAGGTGGGGGGACGTGGGCGCGGGGCGAGCGGAGGAGATAAAAGCGCCCCGGTTTATTCACGCCCAAGTAAATGCCGCCGATTGGTAGATTCGGCATTATCTCCTCCCTTCGTTCTCTTTACTCGTGTGGGGCTTTTGTTTAGCTTTGTGCGGAGAGGGACGCGGCGAGCGGCGGGAGAGAGGGAGTGGGCAGCAGCGGATAAGGCCTCCACATGGTTTCCCACCGCGCAGCGTTGGGAGCCGCGTGTGCTGTCTGGCTCGCCTTTGGATGACTGTGCCTGCGCGGCTGTGCTTGGTCGTTTCGGCAGGTGAAGGTCCACACACTTGAATTTCGCCTGCGCCGCGCCACGCGGGTTTCCCCAGTCCACTTGCTCTGGGACGCGGACAAAATCACTATTCCGACCCTTCAACCAACTTTGTCACAAAATGAACTCGATGTGAAAGTATTTCACGATCTGACCCTTTTAGCAACGCCACAGCCCGCGGCGTTTCTGCCCAACATAAAAACGTTGAGGTAGCTAGCGTTTCTGACCAAAAAGAAACGCCGAGGCAGCTAGCGTTGCGGACCAGGTAAGAAACGCCAAAGGCGCCGGCGTTGCTGCCCATCATTGAAACGCCAAGGGACCATGGCGTTGCTACCCTCTTTGGTCATAATTAATTAGCCTTATTAGTTAGGCTGTTCATCCACATTTCACATGCACATGGAAAAGGGCAGCAACGCCATGGTCCCTTGGCGTTTTAATGATGGGC